TTTTTCTTTCTTCTTTTTTCTCTCTTCTTCTTCTCTCTTCTCTTATCATCATCTTCTTCTTCTTTCTCCTTCTTCTTCTTTTACTTCTTTCTTCTCCTTTGCTCTTCCGATCTTTTCCTGTAAATTGAGAGCAGCGAATCTCGGAGTAAAGGTGAGGCAACGAGGCGGTGGTAGTGGTCAGAGGTAAAAGGGCGGTCCAATCTCCTCTTCTTCTTCTTCAATTCCCGGTCCAATGCCCAGTCCATCTTCAACTCTTCTTCTTTCTTGTCCATCTCCATTAGATCTGAGAATTTCGATTCAGATCCGAGGTCAGCGTTAATAAAGAAATCGGCAGTGGTGGCTGAGTACAGACGCCGATTGAATGAGTAGGCATAGGTGACGGCGAGCAGTGAGGCGCCGATTGGATCGGAATAGGTGACGGCCGTCGGTAATAATGGCAGAGCTGCAAGGAGATTTGGCCTTATTTGGGGTGGGGGGCATCCGATTGCAGAGACGGAAGAAAATGGGTGGACAAGATCGAAAAGAGGAGAAGGGATAGGAATGAAGGGTATTTTAGGAAAGTCAAAGTAAATTTTCTGTTTTATTAAACTCCGTGCCAAGTCAAAGTGAGAACTTTAATCTTGGACGGAGGGAGTATATCAAAAGATCTACAAAACTAGAGGTGACATGACTATATTATTTTATCAAATGGGTGACGAAAATAGGCCAACAAAGTGAATAAAGTTTGACCCTGTGAATAGTGAACGTAAAGTTTATTTGTGGACGGAGGGAGTATATTTTTACGAGACTCCGTCCTATATTGTTTTGTATCACTCAGCAAATATGCTGAGCGTACAATATTTTTGGTTTTTACTGTGCGTAGGTGATGTAGTTGGAACAAGTGGAAGTGCAGGACATGGCAATTAAATCCGTTTAAATAAATACGGTTATGTGTTTATTTTATTTGCTTGAATAAAAAGTTTGTATTTTTTATGATGTTATGTTCACAAACATATTGTATTTTAAACTTGTTTTCGCTGTTTTTAATAAATATTTATAAGATGTCTTTATAAAAAATTAGTATATTTTCTCTTAACTCTCTGATTTGGAATAGTCCACGAGACTGTTCAAGTTAGGGTATTACATTTTCCATTTATAACACCCCGGCCCCCCACCTTGGCCGTAAGCGTTCGCTCATAGGATTTTAGACTGGCCCCACAAACCAACACAAGTCTTTCCCACGCACTTTATCATCACTCGTGCGTGCTTAAGAAAACTTCATAGGGGGTCACTCATCTTAGAATTGCTCCAGGTCAAGCACGCTTAACTTTGGAGTTTCTAGGTGATGAGTTCTCGAAAAGAAGATGCACCTTGTTGGTATGAGTAGTACTATCAATCCTTTTAAACTCTTCGATCATATTCCCATCTTAATATAGGGTATTACAAGCAAATTCGTACCATAACTCTTAAGCTCGACGTCTTGCCATGAGGGTTCCACCTCGGCTCCGGTACGGTGACAAGACCGCCGGTTCTGGTGGTCTCGTACCGTACCGTCTTCACCCCTAACTATGAAGCTCATATCGAAATTTATAATGTGTTTGAGAGTATACCGTTTTTTGTTTGACTGTTTGAGTCTTCGGCCATAGTTATAATTAGATATCTTTTTTGAGACGTTAACTTCTTACGCTGATGCCAAATAAGACCATTATCGAGTACTTCATAGAGGTCTAGAATCAGATCAAATAAAAATCAACTTTAAATAATGAAATCATAACTTAATTAAATCAGATCAGAATCAGTTAGATAAGTTAAAGAGAACAAATCCTTGTTTAGACTATATTTAGTTGGGAGAAAGACCAAAATATGACTAAAACATTGAAAATATACCAAAATAGGACTTCTATGTTTTTATTCTCGAAATAAGACTTACATTACCAAACGTGGTCATATACATTACCAAAAAAGTATAGTAATGCACACATGTACACTGCCACATTACCCCAATGCAAAGTCACATTACCACAGTGCAAAGTTCTATTTTGGGGAAAAAACATAAAAATTATATGTTGATACTTTTCTCTATGTTTTAGTCCTATTTAGGGTGATTTTTTTATTTGGTTTAACAAGCCCTAGCCTTATTTAGACCAAAATTTACAATACATTAATAATCTTCTTTTGAAAGGCTAACAAGTAACAATAAAAATACTACTCTGTATAATACTTTGTACTTCCTCTGTTTCCAATTTGATTATAATTTTTATTTATGAGATAAAATTGTGCATTTTAAAAATAAATTTATTAAAAACTTGGTATAAGAAAAATATGTAAAATTCATAAATTATAATATATATTGAAAGATTTACAAAACAAGAGATAAGAATTGCTCCCTCCGTCCATTAATTTCTTTCTAACTTTCCTTTTTTGGATGTCCAAAATTTTCTTTCCCATTTCCTAGTTTGGCAAATTGTTTTAGTAAATGTGCCATCATATCCCTACTTTTCTCTACACTATTGACTTTATTTTATCACATCAAGGATAATGCATGAAAAATCTTTACAGTTTTTAAATTTTCTTAATCTCCGTGCCAAGTTAAACCGAGAAAAAGATTTGGACGGAGGAAGTATATTTTATTTTAGGAAAAGTTATCCAAAATAATTTCAACTTTACTCTGTTTTTTAAAAATAATCTCACTTTTAAATCTAATGCATAATATTCCAACCTTTACTGAAATTGTGAGTTTTGGACTGCCATTAAGTTGTTAACGGTGAGTTAACGGAACGGTCTATTTTGCGTAACAAAATGAAAGTTGAGATTATTTTTGGTAAATTTTTGTTTTTATTTTTTTTGAAATTTTTATTTAGATTTTAAAAATAACTTTCTAAATCAATTTCTTTGTCCTTTTTTAAATATTATTCGTATCTTATAAAAATTAAAAAAATAAATATAAAGTATCAAGAGATAGAAAAATAACCAAAACCATACAAAGTTAGTGAAATAAATAAGGTAATCAATAAATATTAAACTAAAATAGAAAAGAAACAAAATAAAAATATAATGAGTGGAGTGGTCTAACATTATAGGCATGACAGAGTAGTAGTGTACTACTTATTTTTTTTGAAAGAAATGTAAAGTTAGGATTATTCTAGATAATTTTTCATAAAAATAACTAAGAAGTAGTACATTAATGATCTCTATAGTATGTAAAATGTTAAAACCCATCTCTCTATATATTTTTATTTTATTTCTTACTAGTTTCAGGTTAAATTCTACTCCGTATTGATTACTATTTTTACATTAACTTTGTATGATTTTAGTTATTTTACTCATTTTTCGTTATTTTTATATTTTTATTTTTATCCAAAGTTAGACTAACCATTTAAGAAATACTCCCTCCGTCCCTAAATAAACTTCCGTTTTTGACTTTTTGAAGATTTAAGAGGGGGAAATTTTGGTGTTGACTTTCCAAAAATACCCTTGATGTGATGTGTAAAAGTAAGATGTGATATGTAGATTATTAGTAAAAAGTTATGATGTGATAGGTGGGGTATGAAAAAGTAAGGGGTAAAAGGGGTTTTTAAGGGAAAATAGAAGTTTATTTGGGGACAAAGAAAAAACGAAAGAGGAAGTTTATTTAGAGACGGAGGGAATATAAATTATGGTTGGTTGAAAAAAATTTCAACATTTTAAATTAAAATTACCAAAAATATTAAAAATAAAAATTTATCAAAGATAATCTCAACATTAATTTTGTTGTGCAAAACATACCATTTCCGTTAACCCGTCATTACTAACTTAACAACGACTTAAAATTTGCAAATTCTTGTAAAATTGTGATTATTATGTATTGCAGTAAAATGTGAGATTGTTTTTGAAAGACCTAATAAAATTGAGATTATTCTAGATAATATTTACTTTATTTTATTAAATAAGTAATAAAAATAAAAAGGAAAAAAATCCTTAAAAAAGGGAGAATAATATTAATGTACGTAGTACATATTAAAAGACCTTGAAATTCCTAGCGTTACCGGACCCTAATTTCTTACTCCGGAACAAACGTTCCTATTTCCCTCCCTTCTCTCTCTTCCGCTCTCAAATCTCAATCACACCTCTAGCGTTAGAAGAGGGCGGGCGGCCTTTCCCTCTTTCCTTCGCTATCTCTATCTCTTCCTTATTATTATTTTTATAATAATAATAATAATTATTTTCTTTTGCCTCTTCGTTTGGTGGATTCGACGATGTTCATCTGAGGTCTGTGTAGATCTGAGGCGTAGATATAGGTTTACAGACGTTACGCGCCGAAATCTGGGGGCCACGCGCAGGGATCCGGGAACCGGCATGGTTGTCAACGGCAAGACGATGAAGCGTATGAAGAGGCGCGTCACGGCTGACCAGTACGATTTCCTCACGTTCCCGTCGCCGTCCGACGGCGTGCGCTCTCCCCCCAGCGCGGGCCCCTTCAGGACAAACGTCAGGGCGTTCCTGTCCAACCACGCGCTCCTTCCCCCACCGTCGTCGCTCTTCCCCCACCTGCTCACGTGCCAAATCCAGTTCCGTATGGGAGATCTCGCCGACAGAGGCGGCGGTGACTCCCCACCCGACGCGGTGGTCCTAGACATCGTGGAGGAGGACGTCGCGAGATCTAGATCCGTTTATTGCGACCACTGCCGAGTCGTTGGTGAGTTCACGAAACCCGACTCAGTCACCCGAGAGGCTAATTATTTTTCTTATCCGTTCTCTCCCCATTTACGACGTCGTTTTGCATGTCCCCCTTTCTGTTTACCCATGGATTAAACCAAAAGTGACACGTGATTCTCTGCCTATGTATTTTGATGGTACAAAAAAAATACGGAGCAAATTGAATTTCGTGGACCCGACTTTCTCGTAAAGTGCACACTTTATTGTATGCGATATTACCCCTTCCGTACTGTTTCATAATTGCAGAGCAAGGACTCCATTCTGAGAAAATTAAAAAATTAAAGTCGTCTAATTAAAATTTTACTCGTAATTTTCAAAATGGTTTATTGTATCTTTAAAAATAAAAGTTCGTTTTTTTTTTTTTTAAAAAAAATACAGCTGGTAACCTCAACATTTTTTTAGCGTTACCATGACCTCATAATAAGTTTATGGTGACATCTGGAATCTAGCAGTCCGGCGGGCCCACACAAGAATGACACGAATGCACTTTATTTTGATTACTCGGACAATTTTCTACTTATTTATGGAATCTGTCTTTCTCAATGTTATTGCTGAGTTTATGTTGGAGAATCTGATGTGAATTACTCTTTGCGGTTTAGGTTGGAGCTGTAATCCGGTGTGCGCGAAGCGCTACCATTTCATAATCAAGGTCGATGGGAATTCCATTGGGGGCCATAACAAGTCTTGTGCTGGCTGTGGCGACCCCCTTCTTCTGTCGGAATCTAGGT